TCTGGCCACATCTCCACAGGCCTACAAGCTGGATTAGTGACCCTATCACACTGTAGGAATTTATATGAAACTTGTATAAAGAAACAGACAATCATTGTATAGTCAAAATAGCATATACATGAAAGAGAAAGTATCATATAAAGAAATATCATATAGAGAACAAGTCTTGAAGAGGCCATTAGACATGTTTAGTCAAACTTAAGTGTCAACTTTGATGACAGTTGCCAATCATCAAAGCACACTCAAGTTTAGTCATGTCAGTCGGTCATAAGGTTTTTGTATTATGATGTTAACATTACAAGTGGACCTTGATTTTTTAATTGAGTTTTTATCTATCTATACATGTTGATATGCGGTGTTCAGACTATGAAAAAGAAGATAATCACAGAGTTACAAGTATACAGTTTTTGCAAAACAGTGAATTTGCTAGTCTGAATAAAGAGGGGGGGGGGGTACATGTAACTAAATGAACAACAAACTCTTGGGAGATGTGGACGAGGTTTAGTGTAGTTGATGGGGGTATTAGTATCTACAGATATGCATTAATAAGAGATGTAAGGAAGAAACAAAAATAAAGCAGCATAGCAGTGGATAATGGGGGATTAATCTCCAGAAATACACATCTAATTCCTCACCTACAGTATTCACATAGCCCCAGATGTTATACCAAAGACATCAAACGGACAAATCTTGCATTATACTGGTAATTACCAGCTAACATTCATAAGTTAAGGATATGCTCTACAAAATGAATTTATTTCCTTGTATATTGCATTTGCAAAGGGAATTCAAAACAAGAATATTTTTGTCAAGTACCTTTGAGTACTTTTATTAATTTGAGGCATCCTGATATTAATTTTTCTGAAGATATACAAAGCAGTAACCTTCTTGCTATCTTAAAAAGCAGGATTTAAGAGCAATTTCCTGAATACAAGCATTGAGGGCATGCACTTCATTCCCTTCAAATGTGGATATGAAGCATGAATCTATCATTTCAAAATTGAAACAAATGTGAATTTGATATCTACTGAGCCCTAGCCTAAATCCATAGATTGAACTGGCTTTGGTTTGGATGCATCTAAAAATACCCTATGGAACCATGGTAGTAGGTCTTTACAAACAAACTCCACTCTACCAAGAAACAGCCTCCTGACTGAACATCTTCAATTATTCAGAACTCATTCTGTGTCCTAATTACAGGCAGGCAGCCATCTTGAAGCTTGTAGGCAAGTATGTCCTCCTTTTCATCTACTTCATATTATTCACCATCTTTCCATCCCACCATCTCTGTTCCTCCTCTACCTGATGTGACCCTAGAGTCACATTTAGATTGATGCTCCAGAATCTAACCCAGTGCTCGTGATCCAGCTTCCCACTCAATGCTTGTGCGCATGTCGGTTTAAAGGAACTAGTCGCCCACAAATATATCGCTTTGGATGGTATTTCATGAATTTACAAAATTCAGTTTATCAACTTCAAATATGACTTTAGTCACAAGATACTAGTCGTCCACAAATATGTTGCTCTGGATGTTATTTCATGAATTTACAGTATTCAGTTTATCAACTTCAAATATAACTTTAGTCACAAGATAAAAGTTTTTAATACCGAAATCCATCAACTTCTCTTCAAATCAAATAAAAGCAAAAAGCAACTTATAAGTACACTATGGAAGTACACACACTTAGGCAGGAATGCATGCTCTCAAGTCACACAAGCCAACTCCAAGTAACTTTTCATGGCGGATATACTAAGTATTCACCCCCCCCCCCCACACCCTATGCTCTTAAATCCTTAATCATTTGAATGTCTCATAGTTTGTGGGTGGTTTTTATGTTTAAAAAGTTCTAGAGATCCTACACAATTCTGAGGGGTTTGGACCCTTTTACTACATGAATGGGGAGTAAACAATTAATAATTCATTTAGAAGACATCCATTAAACGTAATACAAATCAAATGTCTTCAGCTCTTTAAAGATAAAGACCAGTTATGGTCATGCGATCGCATTGTGAAAGAAACGTTTTGGAATCGATCAGAAAAGTGATCATTTAGCATATAAGTATTGGTGTGTACTGCAAGGTTCTGGAATCATCAAAATCATAAGAAATTTGGCCCCAGAAAGATGTATATGGGACTACGCACACGTGCACAACAAGTGCGTACGTAATATCTATCACATCCCAATAGATAAACTAATTTAACCAAATATATCAATTATTAGGTGGTTTCTCAGCAAAATTTGTATGATCACGTATTAGTCAAAACATATTCTTTCACATGATTGGTAATAAGAGCTTCCATTTCATTTTTTTAGAGGGGGGCGTTTCCCAAACTAGTCTTTACCTTTAACTAGATTTAAGTAACAAAGCATGTATTTTTTAACATGAATGTGGTCTCACATGTGTTCATTCACATGATCAAAGCAACATTCTAAAATAACATTTTTTTCTCTTTCTGCACATAATGGCAATAAGCGGAAGGCAGTGCGCTAAGTATGTTTCCTTTAACACAACATGACCTAAAGGTTACTGTGTCATCATGCAAGAGAAATGCCAAGGGCTCTCCATACACTAGCTAACCTCAGAATATACTTCAGTAAAGAGGACTTATTGATAAAGATCTTGCATTTATATAAGTTCTATGGAATTGATCTTAGCCATAGCTCGAGATATTGCGTTTTTTATACTTGTGGCACATTTAGCACTTTCATGCATAAATGTCATATCCTTGACGAAAAACCAATCAGGGAGATACCATTTTTAAGCGTATTAAATCAGAAAGTGATTTTGCTTCAGGAAGAAAGAGAAGTGAAATAGAGAAAGATCAACCTTCAAGGAAATCTTTTTTTTGGTACAGTCACACCCTCAACCCCCCCCCCCCCTAAAAAAAAAGAAAAAGAAGCTACAAGAAAGTAATATTTACAATAGGAAGACTACCAAAGATGTGCATTTAATTAATACTTTCAAGAGAACATTTTATACTTCTCCCTGTACATATAATGCAACCAGATGGGTACTAAAACATTAATTTTACACCATCCAAATCAAAATGTCGCTTTCTAATTAACTAAGGAACTGAAGGTGGATATGAAACAAGTCACATGAGTGTGCCTACACACACGATGTAAGGCAGCATTTAGAATAACGTTTCATTCCCCACAGGTTGAAGCTAAATTATAGAGCTGATCAGAGATACAATGTACAGATTGACTTTCATGGAAGAGCAGAAAGGTTCCAGGTGTGCGTCAGCTAGTGGCTAGTTTCTAATTCACATCACTCTCGGTTTCACAGCTAGAGTAGAGCACAAAGATAAGTACTAAGAATAATCCAAAAGATTTCCCAGGCATCCACATTGTGCCAATTGTAACCAAATGATCTTTTAAAAATCTGCAGTTTTATTTGTAAATCAGGAAGTCTAGGTTGAAAGAGAGTCACAGTCAACTATATACATGAAACAGTTTTGTTACTAAAACTGTTCTTTAGTATGCAAAGGTATAACATTTCAATTCCCATTTTCAGCTACACATACCTACATGCCTACAATACAATAATTTCAATTTTACATGAAAACTCCATGATATCATAATTGGGGACATTTCTCTCTCATTTTCCCTCCAAATATCAGCTACAAAGGTAGTTACAAGGGAGACAGAATGGATACTTTTAAAACCACCCCTTACAGCCTATGTTCTGTGTCAAAGCCCATTTTCCTACAGGCCCTTTCAATTCTTTATATCATTGTTGAACTTTGAGCTTTAAAAGAGCCCTCCTGAACCAAAGGATGGGGTGTGTGAATGGGGGTAAATGTGCCCCCCTCCCGCAAAACCAATTCTGGCATATAAGAAAAATAGAATTATGCAAATTTTTGGAGATGTCCAGATTGGTGAAGATTCAAGCCACATGATTGAATTACAACAATAGTAAATCTCTGGGAATCTTGCACAAATCTCATCCAGTGAAAATTGTTCTACATTTAATTTTGCAATAAGTTTATGTACAGAAGAAAAAACAAAATTTACTAAAGTATCTTAATATCTAATATCATTAGTGTTTGTGACCATGATTTATCTATTCCTATGATTTTATCTCTTTTTCTCTCAAGACTTCTCAGTTGTTGACTGATGTTTTCAGACTAAATTATCAGTATCGATCCATCAACAGCAGATACAGAGTCATGAGGCCTGTTTTCACTAGCTCGAGATTGCCAAATATCCCTCTATTTGAACTATCCCGATCGCAAACTATCCAGCTAATTTGCGTCTTCATCAGCCCGAAGTTGCAATTAGCGGGATATTTGGTCTGAATTGTCATCCCAAGATATCTTGGGATAGTTTGCAAAATATCCACTATTTGGCAAAATATCCAGCTATTTGTCCGGTGCGTCTTCACCACACCGAAGACTCGCACTATGCGCGAACACTGAGCAAAATATCTCAAGCTAATTTCTCAAGGTCGAGTTTCAAGTTTCGAGGTCGAATCTTGAGCTGATGAAGACGCGATTCGTAACTTCAGGATTATTTCCCAAATCAGAAATAGCGGGCTATTTGGCAATCTCGAGATGATGAAGACGTGCCTAGTATGCTAGTTTGTGGCTTTCTTCAGGCTGCAGTCTTATTGGTTATAGAGAAAAGGCTTTTATCATGAAAGAATATAGTTGTGGTGTTGGGATGGTGAAGGAAATAAACCACAACTTGAATCAGCACATTACCTGACAACAGCATATCATCTGTTTAGAACCAGAAAGGCAGTAGTTTATACAATTTAACACAGTTAACATCCTTCTGGCTCCAAACAATTTATGTTCCTTGAGTGAAAATATTGAAAGCAAGGACTCACTGGAATAGAAATACTTGATTTCAAGTGATATTGGAATAGAATGAATAGTGATGAAAGGAAACAAGAGGTTAACTTCATCCGCAATCATTATTCATAATTCCCAGCAGCAAAATAAAGCCATGGGACTAAAGGAGCTGAAACGATTTTGTTGTTGTTATACTTACTTTGTTCCTGATGAGCAGGGCCTCAATAAATACTGACACATAGGCAGCAGAAGGAAAGCAAATGCTACTGTAGCTAGTACTGTCAAAGAGAACAAATAAGGAAGACAAACAAAAAATATTATTAATCACAAAGCATTGAAAACGAAAAGTCATTAGCATTGATTGATAAATGTCAAATAGTCTCTTTAGATTCAGAAGGAGGCAAAATATGTGTTGAAGTATTATGAATTAATGCCGCTCTGGCTCCATGCAAACAGACAAAATTTGCTTTCAGATAGCCCAAGGCTAATGGTCGAATTTGAATTAATTTCAGTCTCAACAGAGTTGTTTATTTGTAAGACGGAAGTTTAATTGCTACGTTTATAAGAAATATATTATTTGAAGCCTCATTAATCACAATAATTTGAAGCTTCAGAATAAATCTTTAGAATAATGACTCTCTGGATAGTACGAGACGATGGGCTTCAAGAAAAACAAGCTCTTTATCCTGACTTGGTTCAAAACAAGGAGTCTCAGTGTCTTGAACAGTGTCATTATATCTTCTGAGGCTCTTGAATATTGATGGGATGACTTTCATCTATAATGCAGGCCTGGGTGATATGGTATGGCAGCTAGGCACTATGGTGTAGTGTGTCCCTATTGGTCATTTCAACACGATCTAGATGCCCTATCAGCTAGGAGCCAAAATAGGGCACAGGTGCAAAACAAAGTGCCATTTACACAGAGATGAAATGACTAAATCTAAGGTATTAAAAGACAGATTCTGATGGAGCCATCGAGTCACAAAACATGCAAAACTCATCCTATGTTGACGTGCATAAGTGTAAGATGTTTTGGACAATAACTGTATAGTGATATTATTATTATTATTATTATTTGGCAGAAAACACATGATATCAAAATACAGATATGATAAGTGATTGAATTTTCTTTGTCAGAAAAGTCACGTAGCAAAACAGAGGTTTGAGCATTGTTTTCACCAAAAAGCGATAACGAATCAGGATCCAACTCCAATGTGAACATCACATTTTACAATTTATATATTAATGGGCAGGGATTATTTTAAGCACACGTTGAGATTTTAAGGGGCACCTGTTTAACATTTCCAATTTCATTATAGTGATGCAAGAAGTTAAAATGTACAAATCAAAATCAAATGGCTAGCATGAGAAAAATGTATGAGTTCCGCTTTTTCTTTTCCGTTTATAGATTTCTGTAATTAATAACACACGCCTACAGCAGGAAACACACACTTGGCAAACATATAAATTAGTACTTAACTGTTTCTATTTTGGTTTGTGCATACAGCAGATAATTTTGTAAAGCTGCAATGACAGTTAATTGCCTTTGGTTGAAAATATATTGTGAAATAAATGGCCCATTAATATCAAGCAGCTCTCAAAGCAAGATAATTTGTTTATTAAAAATGATTTTGAGAAGGAAGAAACAGACAATTGACCAAGCTGACCAACTCATAACTGACCAAAAGTAGCCCTTGGAATTATAAATCTCAATCTGCCCACATCTAGCCCCCCCCCCCCACACACACACACTCCTCACCCTGTTCCCAATGCAGTGAGGTTTTCTCCTCTTCCAATCCCTATTGTACGTAAATGGGGCAAGCTATATGTACCCGTCATGTATGATGTATTAGGTATCTTGCTGGTTAGGTGTCTCATGGGGGGAAAGTGAAGAACCAAGCCTAGCTTCCACAGCAGATGGAATTACAAATGGGTTTCATGGCCCTAGAGATGTGATTTCAAAGCATACAGATAGACTTGATGGGAAGATGAATATTTAAAAGGAATTGTACAATACCCACAATCCACTTCCACTAGACACCCTTCTTACTAACAAATCTTTACTTGGCTTGTTAATTCAATGTGCTATACATGTAGCTCAACAGTTATAGAAGTAGTCTCCCTACCAGAAGGTCATTTGTTCATCTCCAAAAGACACAATTCCAAAGCATACAGATAGAATCGGTAGGAAGGCCAATATCCAAAATTAAAAGTGCCATATAATTCATTGTATGCCCTCGTGTTTATCCAATTAAATACCTGGGTTGCTAATTAAATATGCCATAGTACAGCTGAGTAATTAGAAGAGTACAATGGGACCAGCGAAAGAAAGTGGTAATGATTTAAAAGCAAAACTGGTAATCTGGTGCTCAAATAATTAAAAAAATGCCTAACTTTCTTTGCATTCTACCCCATCTACTGTTTTTTTCCCCCTTCCCCCTGGGGTTCCTTATCTGGATACAAAGATTTTTATATCATCATGTGAGCACAGGCATTTTGCTTTTCAAGATTTTGGCTCCTTTTTGACATACTTCCTAAAATCATCACTTTGTCTAGTTTTTGTTGCTTTTATGTTATCATTTTGTCTGATATGTCTATTGTACCTCCAATCAGAACTTACTGGTAATAAATGCGGATTCCGATGCAGTCGAATAATAATTCTACCACTCTAGATTCAGAAAGACTACAGTGAGCTAAAACCAGTTCTCCACACAGTGACAAGGACTTTTCAGGACATTTATCTCACGATCGATCACATCAAAACAAGGGTAAGCACATCATTGTGAATGACCTCTGACTGTAAAACAAGCACATGGATGACGAGCGATGATCTACATTTAAGAGTGCGTTTATGCTCAATTTTTAGGGCAGAATGAGAGACTTGACACGCTAATAGTAAACGCTCATCGTAATCGCAGTTCCAAGGTGTACTGTTTATGCTCACTTCTCTGGCTCCTCCAGGCATGATTCTGGCTCTGCAGCTGGATTCGCAAACCTGCACTGTGCATGCTACGTTGACCCCATTTAAACGAGTTTACAAATGATTGTGCGTTTACCGTAAATCTCTGTGTATAAGGCGCACCTGTGTATAAGGCGCACCCCTATTTTTTTGGGGGAAAAAAAAAAAGTTTTTTGTTTTGTTGTTGTTGTTGTTTTGTTGCCGAAAACCCACACGGGGAAGGACCTTCATTTTACATCGAGGTGCAGTTGAAGTTGTGAACTTGTCACAAATAATAGTAACAACAGTCTAAGGCTTCATGATACCAAGTGTCCCACACCAGCCTCATCACATCACCTAGCAGAAGCTCTGTGTTCTATGCCAAACATCAATAGTCATGCATGATATGAATAGCATCCTCTATCTTTCTAATAATGGTGTACCTAGGATAGAACCTTGTGGTACACCATTTGTTATAGAAAACATAGAAAATATAGGATATATTGCCAGGCATAGCGCCATAAATCGAAACAAAATTTTTTTATTTTTTTTTCTGTACCTGTGTATAAGAAGCACCCCCGACTTTCATTTTTTCGGCGGCAAAACAGTGCGCCTTATACACGGAGATTTACGGTATGCTTCCCCAGAATCGCCAATCCAAAACGCACCTTTTTGTGAGTTTACAATCTGCGATTCTACAAAAATGAGAAAAGGGTGCAACCGTGTTTTGAACTAAACGCGTAACAAATGCCTCATTCTGGCCAGAAAAAGTTGAGCATAAACGTACCCTAAGGCAGCGGAAGGTGGCATGGCAGTCATTCAATGCAGGATGTCAAAGGGAAAGGAAGTGCCATAGTTCCGGCTGGGTGTCTCCCAAATGTTCTGCTTCTGATAATGACCCTTACTGCCTTAGTCAATTTAGAAACATAAGTCCACATGATTTTCTGAAGTGTGTCAACAGGCTTGCAGCACTAATAATGTTAACCCTGGTCTCTAGTTGAAAATGTATGGAGTGATTCTGACGTACGCAAACTTACAAAGTCTGCTCCACCCCTTCTCTCTCTATCCTCCCCTTCCTTCTCTGTCTCTGAATATATCTTTACCGGGTATCTTCTTTCTTCTCTTTTTGTCTCCCCCTCTGTCTGTCCGTTCCCTCTCTCTTCCCTCCTCTCTCTCTCTCTCTCTCTCTCTCCCCCCTCCTTCCCTTCCTTCCTCATTTCACCTGTACACCAGGGCAGTTAACCATAGCAATTAACTTGGTTGAAGGGGCGGTACCCCTCTCCCCCCCCCCCCCTCCCCTCTCCTTCCCCTCCTTCCTCATTAGCCAAATCAATTGACTTGGTTGAAGGGGTGGTATAGGGATAGGTCCAGAGCTCCAATGATTCAGATCACTGTCATTCTGTCTTTGCTCCATCCATGATGTGACTTGAATAGAGGGGGCATGGTGGCTAACAAGCCAATTATTTGGAATCCTTGGCATTGATTTGGAAGTACAGGGGAATCTAAAATGGTTTAAAGGTAGTCCTCAAGTAGTCTCAGGTTCTGGTTACAAAATGAACTCCAAGATATCAGCCAAATAAATATGAAGGAAATCATCTGTATTCTATAGGGAGCAGGACCGCCATTAATAAAACTATCATGGCAACATCGTTTAACAGCTAATCAAATCAAGGTATCCAATGGTAAGTTACCATCAATGGCAAAGTTACTATCAATGGTAAGTGTTATTCAATAGAGGCCCTGGACTCTGTATAAACTCATACCTCAGTCACACCAACGAGACCAACACCAGACCGACCCCAGACTGACCCCAGACCGACCCTACAATTACAGGGTGGTTTACAGTCGGTGTGACTGGGATGGTATGAGATAAATACTCTTTTGGTTCTTAGTAGACAACATATTCTCCGAAATGTGCATACCTACATGTTTGTGTTGTATTTGTGTGTTTTTTCTTTTTTTGTAGGCCTACGTGATATTCAGCAAGAGTTTGCTGGTCCAAGCAACCCATTCATGAAGAGTTTAAGCTCTTATTCATTCAGATCACACAATGACCTGTACAAGGTACTAATTATAAGCTTTTCTAATTTGTCAATTTATAATAGGCCTTTATAATTCCATAATGGAGTATTCTTCTGGTTGTGTACTATAAAAAATAAATACCAGAGAAGAAAGGGTAAGCCAACTGACCCGACATGAATGCAAGCACTATGAATTCATCAAAGAGATTTTGATGACCTTTTAGGACTTCATCAGGAGAAAAACAAAATCACCCCATGAATGTTTCATAAAGACTCTGACCGCTACCACTCTATGCATTTACATTTTTCTTTTTTATTTGAGTTGTTGACCCTACCATCCATCTTGTAATTGGTTCAGCCTCTGGGCATTTCTATGGGAAGTACCCACTTAGTTTCCAGGTCATCTGTTAGCGCAGAAAATATCCGCCCTCTAAACTCCGGGATTCTATCTTTCATTCTACACACCCCCTGGAGCTGAATGCATCGCTGGCAAACAATGCAAATATGAAATGCTCATGCAATATTGATTGGCTATCACCGTAGGGGATGCTAATGGCATATTAAGCACTTTAATGGGCTGGACTGATCTATAATGTGAATTAATTATAACTGTTCATCTAAAATTGATATGCATAAGAAGTGACCTCTGATTTCATATGCATTACACAAGTAAAGGATTTCCAACAATTTTGCCTATAATAAAGTGTTAATTTCAATCATTCATAATGATTGCAAGATGTCAGAAATTTAAATGAAATGTATTGAAACCTGGCAGTGCAGAAATGTATACTTTCTATAAGTACAATTCAGAAATATATTCATGTATAATCCACTTTAACTGAAGTCTCTGTATGCTATACAGCCAAAAATATACAGGAGCTGAAACCAGCAAGATTACGAAATCCTCTGGACAAGTAGGACCAGTAAAGAAAGGTAGAAATTGTTCCAAAAGAATTTGTTCTATGAAGAGTATTAGTCAAACTCTGATTTTACAAATAAAAGTTTATTTCTACAAATTGAAATGGTTTAATGCTTTAAAAACTAAACCAATGGTACTTCAAGGCTACTTGAGACCTTGAGCTATTCAACGATGTCGAAGAAATTTACCCAGCATGGAAGCTGTAACTATATCTACATGTAAGTGCATAAGATATCTAATGTAGGAATGGTGCGGCATGCATCTCCATCAGCCATGTGCTATACTGTTCAAGGAAACTTTTATTAGATGATCTGCTTTAGAATGCATGCATCCCATGGATGAACCAGCTAGTCCAATAAGACTAGAGCATAGGAGCTAGCTGCTTCAGTAACTTGATCAAGCAACCGACATGTCTGTAATGTGCCCACCGTGCTTGATATGCAGTGCATGTGTTTGGTATGCGGGCATGTCTGCACTTGGCATACAAAATGAGGCGGTATAATGAGGAGCAAAAATAGATATATTAACTCATTTGAGGAGAGAGAGAGAGAGAGAGAGAGACAGGGAGAGAGAGAGAGAGATAAACAGAGAGAGGCAAATAGAAACAGAGAGAACTAATTGCAAATACACAATATTACTTTTTATTAATTTAGATATCCAAAAAGCAAACCATTGATGCATGACATCCATTTAAATCAAAGTCTAAATTTGCCTATTCAGTTTGTGAACGTATTTATTTGTCTGTACTTTCAAATCAAATATTATAATAATAATGCTATCTAGAGAAGATAGTAAATCATTATTCATCAAACTTGTGATTTTGGAATGAGAAGATCACATTATGTATTCCAAGCCAGAAGGACGTTAATTCTGTGTTAAAGAATATGATTTAATGTCCTTCTGGCTCTTAACAGTCAAGTGAACCTAGCTAAGCTGGTAGGACACTGCATCCTTCATTTCAAAGCTGGATTAAGCACGACTAGCTATCCCTTGATTGTCAGTGATCATCAAGCAATAGCCAAGCAGTATCTGAACAGTGAGTGCATGATGAATCGTTAAAGATTCATGAACTGGCAACTGCACTATGTTCTAACACCCTAATGCTCCGACAAATAGTATGGTCCACATGTGTCAAATTCAATTGGGTTAGGTCTCACTCATGGCGAACATGAACACGAGCCTGTCTTCATCCTAGATTTGTCCAATTGTTTTAAATAAACAGTCCAATAATCCACATACTTGTAAGTGGAACTTATTAGGCTGGACCAACAATGTATTAAAGAAGCTCAACATGAGGAAAATGAAATATTGAGACATGGTCACCCTTGAGCATGAGTTTAAAACTATAAAGCAGCATCTGATTGGCCTCCATGTGAGGCCCTTATAAAGCTATGGACAGTGAAGTTAATATGTATAAGGTGGAGAGGACAGAAAGTGAGATATTTCTAGCCCTATCTTAGAGGAAAAAGCTATTACGTATATACCACATACACTGTATGTTCAAAATATGCCTAGATGTAGGAAACAAGATCTTGAACTCTTCTGATTAGCCCAGTGGGACTGTGCAATAGCAAAGTTTAACTTTAAATCACCCTTTGATAAGCCAGGGTCATGCTTTTGTTCATACATAACATACATGTACTGTACATGTAATTCTTGTTCACACTGTAATGGTACCAGAAGCCATTCCATTCAAATAAGAAAGTTAAATGTGATAGTCTGTAAGTAATCTTCACATACAAGTCAAATCTGAACAGCACTTTAACCAGAGATACGTGTAGATGTGAAAGCAAGGTCAGCATACATGTACATCCCAACGAACGAACACAACACAAGCTGGTGAACAGTTGATAGGAGAGAAACTAAATCTGGTGCTTGATTGAACAGCTGAGTTGAGTTGATGGACTGGGCAAATTATGCAAGTGTCACATGCTTTCAACTTAGCTCTTCGTTCAGTATCCTCTTACCAAGCGGGAGGTTTAACCCAATTCTTTTCCGTTTGAGAGTGCAGAAAAGCCTGGCATGTTTTGATAAGTGCTCTCTGAAAAAGACACTGATTTTTAAAGTTTTTATGGATTTGGGTCTTGATTTGGTTATCTAGAACAGTAGAAACTGTGAATTATTAGAATGGTGTTTGGTTTGAAATGGATATTGATGTCTTGCTTACACTGGTGGGGGGTGTTTTGATGACGCTATTATGAAAACACAAATGCCATTTCCATTCCAAGGTCTAAATTTTAAAAAAAGAACTGTTTGAAATAGGGAATTGGAATTGCCTTTGAGTGGACTTCTTGAAAGTATTTGCAATCATATTTCCCGCCTTCTCACAGCAAGTGCAGGATATATTTAAGTGATGGAAGCTGAAATGCTTATAATGCCAATAATAATAGTAGGCTAATTGTTTCTTAGAAAAAGCTTTTCCATTTGATAATAGCTGAAAGGGCTTTGAACACACACAAAAAGGGATAAAATCGTCCATCTCTGTTTTTTGTTGTTATACTGACCAATCTCAAAACAATCACTGAGCAATTTGGTAAAGACTTATTATCCTTGTATTACCACAAGCCTGGAACACTAACACATGCATTTTTTGACAATCCAAGATATACATTTTCTATACTTTTATAATATACTTCTATACCTTTCATTTCCTACTCTAATATCTAAAAATCCCAGATGAGAGAGAAGGACTGGACCATCGGATCACAGTTAGCCATCTTGCTGCATGTTATTTCACAGAGCAGAAAGCTATTAAGTACATTTATTCATCTCCATGATATATTACTCTCCCATTTCATCTTGACCATCCTCATAAATTGTCCAGCATTATCTCTTTAATATCCTTTCATATCTCCTATTATCAGTGTTCAGAACCAGAAGGGCGTTAACTCTGTTTTTAAGTACATGAGTTAATGCCCTTCTGACTCCAAACAGACAATTTGATGTTTAGGTTTCGGTCTGAAGATGTGGGTTGATTTAAGATCACAAGCGGATGAAGTGAAAGTAAAGCCAAAAGTACAGTTCCCCCAGTATCTTTGCAGCTATCTATTTCTCTAGTTATTTCATAATAAATAGCTATGTTGACATACAATGTACATGTTGAATCGTCACAGTTTTGAACTTGAAGTTTGTGAGACATTGAAGTTATTTATAAACAATGATCTAATAACAACGATAAGGGTTCACACAGGACTAAACAAGTATTCAGAGTTTAAAAGTACACGTCAGGCAAGCAATCATTGTGGCAACCTTAATTGTTTGCATCCATACAGCACATACCTTCAGGTGTAGTCCCATAAACACATTTCTGTGTACAATGAATATGACATTTAACAATACCTTGGCCAATTTCTTATCATTTTGATGATTCTTAAACCTCACAGTATACACCAATACTTATATGCTAGATGATCAACCTTTACCCATCGCTTCCTGATAGTTCCTTTCACAATGCAATTGTGTGACCAGAACTCAACTTTATATTTAAAGATATATATCTTATTTCAGTGCTCCAATATTTGCTTCACCAGCAATTAATCTGGGCTTTACTTTATCAAAAACATAGGGTTGGGGTTGATATTGGATATTGGGTCTTAGGATAAAGTGTATACTGTTTGGGCCTGGGTTGAACTTAGGAATTGAGTTAGAGTAGGGTATGGATCGTGGAGTAATTGTTCCTGCAGCATGGGTCATGAAACCTGTCTTCAGATTCAGAAGGGCACTAACTCCACATCAAAGTATATGAGTTAACGCCCTTCTGGCTCCAAACCTAGTGTAATTCGATGATTGACATACCTGCTGTGCAGACTGCAAAGACCATCTGCATGGAATCGAAGAAGAAGAACATGACAAGAAGGGAGAATGAAGCTCCTATAGGAAGGAACATGGCTTGAGTTGCATCTATACTGTGAACTGTGGATAAAAAATACAAGGCAGGAGAGGATAATCAATAAGGGCTACATCAAGAAAACTCTAAGAACTGTTGAGAAATAATATACTATAATCACTTTCTAAATATCAAAGATGATAATGCCCTTGGGCAACATGAAGAAAATCTTATGAACTACCGATGAATAACAAGATAATAATAACCTGGGGATAACTTGACAAGAATAGTGTTAACTGGAAGGAAATGATAGAGGTAATTGATTTCTAAATATGAAAGATGATAAAACCCTGGGGTAACATGAAGAAAATTCAATTAACCGTGGAAGAATAATAGAGGTAGTCAATTTTCAAACAAGAAGATGATTATAACGTGGGATGACAAGGTACATTAACTACATGTACATGTACGTGTATAGAATGTGGGGAATTAATATTTAGAGGTAATCATTTTTTTAATATCAAAGTAACCATTCCCTTGGGCCTTCCATAATAAAAATATGATGTATCGTGGAGAAATAATATACGTAATCAATATCTAAATATAAAGATAATAATATCAACTTTTTTTTTTTTATTCATGATGAACTTTTATCAGCTTAAGATATAGAGATGAGATAAACATTTAAAAATCAAGATAATACACAGGGAGTTCTTCTGTAGTGCTTATTTCCATCAATCAATTGGCAAAGCACACTCCATGACTATCCTGGCTCTATAAACTAGTGTACTTGTTAAAATATATGTGCTTTATTCTCATAATTTTCATTTAAAGGTAATAAAAAGTTTTGGTATAGGGTCATGAATTTGGTTCAAATGAACATATTGGAAGCATATGCGATCCTACAATATTTAGTGATCGTTGTCGCGGTTGAAATCAAGTCTAAAGTTATGAAATTGTAAATAATAGACTCTTTATGTTGTATAGCTCCCTCTCAAGGTCAAGATATTAATTAAGCTATAAAACAATATTTTTGACTAAAATCGACCAATTAGCTATTCCCGTTTGGAAATTATGTATCACAACTACATCTTCTGAGATTTTCATGGTCGCAGCTACCACTGTACGGCCGTAGGCGCTATTCAAAATTTATCAAAATTTACCGGGGGGCACCGGTAAATTTTTATATTAAATTTTTCTCGAAAGCAGAAGTATTTTAGAGGATAAATTTTCTAGTGCTTATAATACATCCACAGGGGCATCCAAATATATCAAAATTGTAAAGAATCACTATCCACCCAATTTTCAAAATTTCCCAAAACTTTGTAATACCTTTAAGAGTACATGTATTACTATTTATGCTTATGATATCTGTAAAGTACGTTCTGTTAGAAGTCCATTGATACAAACCTGCATTAGGTCTTCATTGGAACCACTTTAATTACTGTTATTTATATTAAAAATATCTCTACTTTGTTTGTATTTACTATGCTGTTAATATTTTATCAAAATGGGAGAACAGCTTTAATACTGGTACTAAAATTATTAACCACACGTTTCCTGCAATATCAATTCCAAAGTTCAAATCATGTGATCTTTCCAGATACAAATCAGCCAAGAATCTCCTCTAAACATAATTATTCATTTTAGGAGGACAAGATGAAAAATTGAGATATTATTACAGTAGCAGTTTTCATTTCCTGACTCTAGTTTCATAATCTTGTAAACTATAATAAAGGTTGGTGAGGCTGTGATGATTTCAATCAAAAACATTGATGTTTTATCAAATTTGTCTGGTTCTTTGTCTATTATCACCACATTCAGACTACCGGAACTCATTGTACAGCTATATGATAAGTCATTACTAAATGTTCACTATAATAATAATATTACTTCCAAAAAAACTGTTACTAAAAATTGAAATTGCTAGAGGTTTAAATTTATGGGCATGTGAGCAAGAAGGACGTAACTCACTTGTTTCCATTCCCTTCACATTATAAGCCGATGTATGCCATGTGACCAGAGCTACCAATACCAACTGATTACAAATAATATTCTTTCCCATAAAAAAAAAAAAAAATCCTGATTTCAAAATAAAAATGCTATTTTTGATCGATAGGTACTTTCTCTTTGTTAGACTGTGTTCATTGAAATTTTGAAGAACTATGTATGAGTACATTTTACAACCATTTTGTTGAATATGCAAAAGTTTGTCGTGAATGATTGTTCAATGAACCAATGAGCGGCATGTACAGTAAATGTAATTTTACGGACCATATAATTGGTTGTTCGATGAACCAATGAACATCCCCAAATTGCTAATGTGATATGCTTGTAGGACACTCTACAGGAGAGAATGGGCAATTTGCCATTGAAAATGGAACACACACACAATATACACTAGCATATTCAAATTTTCAGATTTTTTTTTTAAACTGTCTTAATATTTACTTCAAAAAATCGTACGAAATAGATTAAACTATACTGCATGGTTGGCAGCTCTGTGTAACTCTTACCATTGCCATTTTCCGCTGGTGGTACATTGCCTGGGGGTGGCCCTGATAATGCATTATCCTTCTCTTCCCTCTGTAGTCTTTCTTTCTCTTCTTGGTCCATGTTTAGGGATCTAAAAAATAAAAACAAGGCAAAACTTACAATATTTCATCATCATTTAATAAATATCTAATGATAGCATATACATACATGTACTTCAGGATATGAGAGGGGGGGGGGGGGCAAACCGATGAATTGAAATCGAAATTCATGAGCTACCCGTAAGAAAGCCAGCACTGCCATTGACAATACATAGAACTCTCTTATGACCTTCTAGCAGGCAGTTTACAAATGTCATTAATCTTTAAGGTAATACAAAGTTTTGGTACGGGGTCATGAATTTGGTTCAAATTAACATATTGGAAGCATATGGGTTCCTACAATATTCAGTGATCGTTGTCGCGATTGAAATTGAGTCTTAAGTGATGAAATTGTAAATAATAAACACTTTTGTGTTGTATAGCGCCATCTCAAGACTGATATTTCTTTAGCTTTGACAACAATGTTTCTTGACTACGATCGACCGATTTTGCTATTCCCGTTTGGAAATTATATATCAGAACTGCATATTCTGAGATTTTCATGGTCGCAGCTGCCATGGAATGGGCTTAGGCACTATTTAAAATATTTGAAATTTACCGGGAGCACTAGTAAATTTTTCATTATTCAATTTCTCGAAAGCAGCAGTGCTTTAGGGGCTAAATTTTCTAGTGCTTATAATACATCCACAGAGGCATCCAAATATATCGAAATTTTGAAGAATTACTATCCACCCAATTTTCAAAATTTCCCAAAACTTTGCACTACCTTCAATCTGTTTACCAGAATTCTTTTTACAGTATTTTAGATCATTCAGGGAGATTTCAGAGCTACTGTACCGGTATATAAATTGTTCTCTACTCCATTGTATTTTTTCTCACTGTTATTAATACACGTCGATTCTCATACACAATTATATTAACGGTCAGGTATTTTAGAATGAAAGACTATATTAAGCCTATTTATTCAGGTAGTTGGTGTACTAATAAGTGTCAGAAAGAAGTGAAAATAAAGGACGGAAGGAAATGCCTGGCCAGGAGAGGTCGTCTGCACTGTTACCACAACTTGTCACTAGAACTGTCAGGTCAGGTTTGTCTGTTGGAAGTATAATCCTGTAGAGCTATATTAGCACATGCACATTGTACTCAGTCCAAAATTGTAAGCCTTATTTGATGTCAACAACTCTAGGCATATACTGACAAGTGGATTATGAATTTACTTTACAGACATAATATTTGTGGGATTCTTTACACAACTTTTCTTCAGTAGTGGTTCTATAGGGTGCGGGGGGGGGGGGGGGGGGGGGGACAAGCACTCCCCCTATTTTTCTTTACATGTCAGCCCCCCTCAAACTATTCTTCTACAGTGAAAAAAATACACGGGGGCTCAGGGCGAATTTGCCCCCGAAATGCCCAAAAGAGCCACTGTAAATTTGCATAGAGTCCAATGCAAAACACATTTTAGAGTGTTATTTTTATGCAGGCAAGCTTGAAAAGTAGCCCGCGAAAAATAAATATTCATTTTTTCCCTGTTCTTCTAGAACTGCTCTGGCTTTTCTCTATGCGATGTTTATCTAAGACGACCTGAAAAGGAAAATATGAGGTTAAAATATTATGAACTGCTCCATTAAAGCATCACACACACACGGATATTTTTAAAAACATGAAAAAAGACGCTTTGGATATTCTCGCAACGTTTTTTGAGCAACTGGAGTGTGGACACACTCAGTGTAAGCATTGATCTGCCGTCTGTTCTCAGGATGCCAAAGACAGAACATACCACATACCACAATATATATCTGAACAGAGGCGTAGCATGGGTTCAGCCATAGAGGGGGCACTGATGTCATGGAGGGGATCAGAAATATTGATTAGATAACATGGCAGAGAACAAGGCAATAGAGTAAGGGTGGGAATGAAGGGGGTCATTTCACCTTCTTTTCAAGTTGCCTTTCCTCACTCCCTTTCTTTTCTCTTTCCAACATGCGACTAGGAGGCATATATAACCCCATGCCCCTCGGTAGCTACGCCACTCTATTCATATACACTGTCCTGATAGATCAACTCTGCCTAGCTGCCGTCTGACCAATTTCCTACATCACTTTTCATTTTCTCTTTAACCTAGCTGCTCCATTATTTCTATTCTTCCATTCCCAAATCCCACTTATAGGAAAGTATTCCCTTCAGCTCTAGCTCAGCTAGACTCTCCTATAGATGTGACCTCACTTTTGATGAGACAATTCAGTAATGGCTAGAGAATGGAAGTGCAATCCAAGACTACGTCACAATGCTACGTCACAATGCTATAAAGTCACTATGCAGAATAGAATGTGGAGAAACATTTCAGAATACATCGATCAGCTGAAGTGAATGTGACAGCACACATATCTATCTTGTCTAAATCTAACCAAGGGGGATGTTATTCATACTTGGTTTTACAGGATTATGAGTTTTTAAAGCTTGGTCCATATGATACAAGATGGAAATTACTGCAATGCACATGGGGAGGGTTTATACAAGGAAATAGAGAAGTGGTTTTAGATAGAAAGTATTTATTCCCAGTTGGTCTTTCTGTATAACAATTGCTCCAACATCAAGGTTGGCAAAGAAAACAATCCCTGATTTAACTCAACTGATTACAAAAAAATTGATTGAAATCACCAATTTCTACATGTACATGTATGTGTGTTACTCTTGTAGTCTCACACCCCCCCCCCCCTTCTACACCTTGGTTTGAAAAAAGGTTGTATCTTTCTGATGGTGATGTTTAAGGTCAGTTCCTGTAGATGTAAACAATCTTATCTAATTGATACACATCTTTCAAACTAGTGCAAACAGCCATGTTTGAAAAAAAAATTACCACACCCTAGCATGAACTGTTCAAGCAGTACGCTGATCTACATGTTAATGTGCATGTTGGTGGATTAGGATTTAAACAAGTGTATCAATCAGATGTATGTACATCTGTGGAACTCATTTGAAGTAATCTAGACACGGACTCAGTTTTGAACCAGGGTCCATCAGTTTCACTTTGTAGGCAGATAGATGACCTTCACATAATCATGTAACATTACATTTAAAGCTAATATAATATATGTCTAGACTTTAGTTTAATATAACGAGGCCTAAATAGTTTCTATATCATGCCTGTGTTTGTGAAGCTAGCATGGGTTCCATAAGTAAATCTCCAAGAAATAAGGGGGAGGGGGGGGGGGGGGAAGAAAAAAACACCTCTAAAAAACCCTCCCAGATAGACCCGATGGAAACTGCTGAACGAACATTCCTCCCTACTTGCTTCCTAGATGACATGATTGGTGGTTACCATGGCGATGAAGCCGGCAGCCTAATGAAATGTTTCCAGCTGGCAGCGGAAGAGCCGGGTTATACAGAGAGGAGAGTGGTTGATTAAGACCATGTGACAAGGAGGTGTCATCTACCCCTATCACCGTGGACTAGAAAGCTAATGTATTTGCTGAATAATTGCCCGGTTGAGCGGGATGACGTTCCATTAGGTCATCATGGAGTAGTCACGTTCCTTGTTTTTAGCAACCTCCCGGTAAACCAAGGAGACACTTGTAGAGACATTATTTTATGGTAACAAACTATCAAATAAAATTATCAACTAAATTATTCATTCCCTCACCAAGTTTTGTAGTTTTTTAAGTATGTTGAAAAATTGATTTGTTCCAATTTATGTTTTTTGAGAATGTGACATATTAACCCTTGCATTAAAAAGTATTTAATGAAAACCCTAATTCAACCAGTTTACCTTTCATTTTTTAGTTATGAAAAACACTAAAAATATAAAATTTACTTGGGGTATGAATAATTTAGTTGTTAACTGTATATGACGGACTTTACAAAATTCCATTATATACATACAGGAAGAGGAGAAAATGGTGTCATAGAAAATACAATCGGCTGCCAATAAGATGGCCGTGATGAGAGCTGTATATTGTTGCAGACAGACAGCAAACAACATAAGGATACACCATACTTTGCATTGTCAAAATGATTTCCAAAGTTATGGAACATCTTTGATTAAACCCTATCTATCTCACAGAACCTGTAATATTTTAATTTCATATTTCTAAAGAATACATCAATCACATATATATGGGAATTTACATGTTTGACATTTTCCAATGATTTAGAAAAAAGAATTGTATGTTTGTTGTGGTTAATTTATGTTCTGCTTCAGGAAGCTCAACCTACATATATAAAAACAATTTGCCTATTACAAACTGTTATATTAATTTGTATTTAAATTTCATGTTGTTTTAATAAGTCAATGATATGGCAAAATCATTGACAAAAACATGTTTATTATCATAATATCTATTTGATGACTGACTTAATATTTCCCAACTAAAATAACTTGGTCATGGTTCAAAATTCAGCAACACGTGGGTGAAATGTAATTGATATGATTTACATCATGAGCGATGGCTCAGTCGGTAGAGCAGGGGTCTCGTAATCCGGTGACCCGGGTTCGAAACCAAGGCGATGCGCTAGTGCCCTTTGGTAAGGCATTAATCCTCATTACCAGGTCCCTCGGAGAGGACCTAAAGCCGTCGGCCGTCTGGTTGCTTACTTACAAGCATTTATGCTTTCTTAGCTGTCAGGTAAAATAACCACCATCATTCCATTCCATCATAATGGGAAAATATTATCAAGAAAATGTCAACGTCTGAGTGGGCACACATTAAATGTACTGGTATCGGCTATGTATTTTTAGGAATGTATAAGAAATTATTTGATTCTATGACTTTGTACTTGAAAATGGGCAATTGTAAAATATGGTACCGGTATGCATTTGGGGGGGGGGGAATCAAAAGTTACAGCAAGAAAGCTGATAAAAATTAAAAGATTTTTATGGTACTGTTATAATATTCAGTGTCTTGTCCTCAGGAAATGATACTTTACAAATCAAGCCATTACAATAATCATTATAATCAATTGTAATATATCTTTAGACTCAAATCCAGGGGTTTCATTGATTTCTTCTTACCTGAAACTTCCATAGACTATGAGGAGTATTGAGATGAGGAATGTTGAGACTCTGGATGAGTCTACCAATGAGTAGGCCCTGTAGTAAGAGAGAAAAAGAATACAAACAAGATGAGAAAGGGTGAACAATTAATGCAACACTAACTCACTGAACATGATAACAAAGAGATTGTGAAACTTTCAAATCATCTTTCAAATTTTATCTTTCAATTCCAATAACATGATCATCAGAAATCAAAAGATTTGGCACAGATACTGAAACCATCTGACCTGCCTATAAAATTGTAGCATAACAATCAAAAAGTGTTAATATTATTAGAACACCTGTACAACATGTTAAAACCAGATTGATCTGATGTGTAAATCAAGCTGTCATTTTGGCATGCATTTTTAACCAATTAACATAAAAAATTCGCTTGCCAAAGCGTGTACATTAAATAAAGTTGACATCAATGAACTAAAATTCAAATCTTATCATAACAAACAAAAAATCAGATACACTGGTGCTCCAAAATATGCCTCTGACAATAACTGCTCAGATTTTATTCTGTAAAAGATACAGGGTTTAGGCTTCAAATTGCAATTTGGTTTAGTTTAAGTTTAGGTTTAGGTTTAGGTATAGGGTAAAGGTTAGGTTTTTGTGCGATATGTGATTGCGTAAGAATTGTTGCTTAAGCATATGTCCTACAACGAATAGAGAGCACCTGAAGGGGATTGTGGTACAGCTCATTAAAATTCAACAGTATGCACTAAATGTCTACCGATAGTTAAAATGTTGAGATGTTGAGCTACTACTGTACATGTACATGTATGAGGTACTGCATGAAGACCTACATTAGGCCAATTTTATAACAGTAATCTTTGTTTATCTAAAGTGATTTGTGACTGATCTTCCTGAAGACCACCGAATAGGAAAGAGACTTTCTGTTTACAAATAAAACAAAACTCATGGATATCAAAGGGCAACCGAAAGCAACTAATATATCCTTATTTAGTTTCTCCTACTACCAAAACAAATTTGACACAACGTACCCCAGACACAATGGAAACTAGTATAGTGTGACAAAGGATAATATGTATGTGCAAGTGTACGATTGAAAGAAAGTAACATGGAAAAAAAGTTAAAGGAAGAATACATGTAAAGGCAGATAACTCTTGAATCTTGAATGAGAAACTACCGGTAGTAATTATTTTGTATTGATCACAATGTCCTTTTGTGTTTTTCTGGTAGTTATACCGTACATACAACAAAAGAGAGATATCCTCTGTTTGGAGTCAGAAAGGCATTATTAATATCGGTTAATTCCTTTGTGGCTCCAAACATATAATACTGAAGATACATGTAATGTAGGAGTGCACATTAGTTGTTCAACATGAATTTATCACCACGCCATTGTTAACCGGTAGCACAAAATTGTTTGGTACCAGCAACATTGACAACTTGGCTAATATGACCCGACACTTCCGTAATCTATAGTACTGAACATAAATATCATGTACATATTTGCATGTAATGTAGGAGTGCACATTAAAATCGCTGAACATGGACAATGTACACATACACTTAGAAATACATACATGTACATGGACCAGGCATGAACATACATGTAGGCTACATGTATATTTCCCCTTGGAGCTAAGGAATTAACTGATTTAAGACTGTTAACCCATTCTAATCCAAGAACTTCCTGCCCGGTATAATGTTGAGCCAACTGTGAGACGGTTTATATTCATTAACGAGGCTCTACTTTTCATGGTGGGGGAATACACTGAAAACTGCTGTGTTTTAAACAAAGTACATTTACTACTAGAAAGTATGTAAGTCTCTACATGTACATTCATGTAAATCAAAAGCATCACTATATTACTTTGATAGGCGGTGGTGTTGCAAGTACAGTACTTTTCCTAATTTGTTACTGACAAGCAGAAAAAAAAAAAATATAATAAAAACCAAAACATCTCCCCAACCCCCCCCCCCCCAACAAAAAAAACCCTGATTTTTCAAGAGTCACATCAACAACACCCCCTCCCCCCCCCACCCCCACCACAAACACACCTTGCAGTAATGCCTAGTTCCTAAAGCATTGAGATTTGGTTTAAAATTGTTGTATTGTAGGCTTTAAAACATTCCCACAGGAAGTACTGCACATGCAGACCAATGAGTTCATGCACTTAAAATGCAATGTAACACTCATAGAGTATTATCTAAACAGATAAACAACTATGATTCTATGTAGATACTTCCTAGTATTTGATATGATACATATCAATGACATTCAAATGGACATACCTAAAAAAATATCCGTAACATTACATTGTACCTTACATGAAAATGTAATCTAACCTTCACTGGCTACAATGTGCTTGAATCAATACAGACACACTTTAGTACATTACTCTCATCAATGTAAATCACACAATCTTTCATGACTAATATTAAATAACAGTTCCTCTCTAAATAACATTTATTTACACTTTATCACTCAAGACCCTCGTAAGGTAGCCCAAATGGGTTTTTATTCAAACAAAGATTCACATTTATGGTGAGTCCTTTTTGCCCTCAGCTGCATTTTATCACTTTATTGAAGTTGCTGGAAGCGCTGTACACAATGTCATGTTTCCCCAACTACAAGAAAGAGTCCAAAGTCCGATACACCGAATTAATTCTTGAACTAGCTCCATTTACAACCAAAATTGTCGGTTTATATCACATTTCAAAAATAAAAAAACCCACCTCTGGAGTGTGATTTTTTTAAAAGCCCGCCGAAATTTCAATGTTTTTTTGCAGTGCAAAATCTAACTTCTGTGAGATACCTTTTTTTTGTCACGTGACTCTCCTTGCTAACGCATGCAGGGTATCCAGGAGTGGGAAAATGGGCACTACTCACCAACAAAACTATATGAGCATGCAAACTTCCAACGATTTTCCATGGGTTTTTCCAGTAGTGATAAATAGTAGTCCTTCCCCCCCAAAAAATTTAAAATTTAAAAAAATTGATGTTTTTTCAAAATGGTCTTTGTGGATGTGTAAATGGGCCTAGTGTTCAATGTACTATGGAGTGCTTGCCCTATCATGAGACGCTGCACAAACATGAATTGTGTGCAGTTTTGTAACAATAATGGCATGTCTCTTGTAATGCTCATTTTGAAAATACAGTCAGCATGGAGATAATACAATGCTCTTTAAATTTGGTTACATACAGTGTATTCCTAATGAGGGTGAGAGATCAAGAAATTAGACAAGAGGTCTCCAACCACTATTCAATTGAGTCAATTGCATTATCTGAAAAAAGTGATTCTAGGTGGCATTACATGTACATGCTACTTTGTATACCAGTAAACAAGAAAATACTTTTCTGTAACCATGACTTTTTACAGCCAAAGTGTTTTGAAAGTTGGACCGAGATGTTTGTTACTATTAGGGAGCACTAGTATCGAAAGTGCAACGTGATGGAAACCTAATCTTCATTGGATCTCAACTCACATCAGCATGACACCTCTTCAACAAACATAACCTCTCACCCTCGTCACTCAGTCAGTCAGAGTTTCTAAATTGGCAACACCGCATCCATATCAACTACTGGTACAGATTTTGTATCGGAGCTGCTAACTTGGCAACACAGCATATGAACAAACTATTTTGTATCAGAGCTGTGTTCTTTGACCACAATTAATATTAGAATCAAAATCATTCTCTGTTGTATTGTATTGTATTGTATTTATTTTCCGTCATTTAAAAAAATACATCAACATAATTATATATATATATATTTACAATCATAAAGACACACTTATAAAAAAAGAAAGACGGAGGGATGGCCCTACTCAGCGTTGTTAGCATAACAATGCTGGTTTACAGAGGGGTCCCTATAGAAATAGAAAACATGAAAATAGTTATTACAAAAGTAAGGAAAACTTACAGCAAAATAAGAACTTACAATAATAATTACAAATTCGAGTAAAACAAGAAACATGAGAGAAATATTTACGGTATTTATAAAAGAGAGAAAGCTAGACAAGTAAATTATTTATTAAAAAAAAAAAAAAAAAAAAAAAAAAAAAAAAAAAAAAAAAAAGATACAGCTACAAGAAGTCTGGAATAGTATTGTTTAAATACTTTTTGAATGTTTGAACAGTTTGAAGTAATTTAGTGGTAGGAGGAAGAGTATTATATTGAATTGAGCTTCTGTATTGGGTAGTTCTGCGACAATATTCAGTTCTAGGTTTAGGGAGAACAAAGTTACCGGAATTGCGGAGGGAATAAATATGAGAAGGGGGTTGAAACATTTCATTCATACTGGGAGATAACATATTATGGACTGATTTATAGACAAATACATTAAGATTTTTCTTACGCCTGGATTCGAGAGATGACCATTTTAAAAGTGAATGAATTTGTGCGTTAGAAATGTGTTCATATGGATTAACTTTCATTATTATTCTGCCCGCGCGATTTTGGAGAGTTTGCAGTTTCTTAATATATTTTTTATCACATGAATCGATTAAAATGTCTGCATAGTCAAAAAGGGGTAAAATAATTGCTTTATATATCAAGTTCAAATTCGTCTCATTAATAAAATAACGTAGTCTAGCCAAATATTTTACTAGGTTTCCAACCCTCTTACATAATTTATCTATATGGACATCCCACTTAAGTTTGCTGTCGATAATAAACCCGAGATATTTTATACTGTCAGTCTGTTGTATTGCAATATTATTTATATATACATTTAATTTATTACATTTACTTAACATATGTCTAGAGCCTATGAGTAAGGATACAGTCTTATCAAAATTCAGTGTTAACTTATTATTGCACATCCATTTATAAATATATGACAAGTCATGATTTAGTTTATTTTGAACACTTTCCACATTAAAATCTGAAAAATAAAGAACAGTATCGTCAGCGTAAAGTTGAATGGAACAATAATGTGTATATTGAGTTAAATCGTTAACGAAAATAATGAAAAGCAAAGGCCCCAAAATGGAACCCTGCGGTACACCAAAAGAAATGGGTAAATGAGATGAAAGAGTTGAACCAAAATAAGTGGAAATAAACCTGTTATGTAAATAATC